TTTGATATCTGCTTACGCCTTTCTTGCAAAGCCAAAACTCGTGAGCAAAAGTGGAGAACACTTGGCATATTCACGACTTTATAACGAAGGTGGACAAAGATATTGTATTAGCTGTGATCATATTTTCTCTTCCAATTCCAAGCACTTAATCAACTTTTATTGACCATCTGTGATTATCATCAAGAAAGAGAAGTACCAGTACATTGGAGGTTTGTACTCAGTTGTCCCAGGTTTCTATAATGATATTGATCATGTACTCTATTTGATTATTATTCATATTGTTATTGTATTATCAGATGGACATGATTCACTCAGCTCAACAACTGACAATCTTGTCTTGGAACTTGGGAATCGCTTCGATAATCATACTGTTGACAATATATACCACGGTTCTTTTGAGTTCACATATTTAAAGGGTTTGACAAATCATACTTTAGTTTCAGAAACTGAAATTTTTAGCTAAGCCAAAAACCAATAGTGTTAACAGCTCACTGCCAAAATTTGAGCCTTCCAATCCATGTGTGTTTAGAATTATCCAAGTTTGAAAGTTAAAAACAAGGGACATACTTTTTTGAGACACTGCCATATATGGAAAAGACATCTATAAAAAATGGAAAAGAAAGGAATTATGCAATTTTCTTACAATTCTAGTACTTCTGAAGACTATTTACATATATTGAAGATTCAAATCAATCCCCCAAAATGGTGCATCTGTCCTTTTAATGGGCTTAGTTTGACAGTGTTAGATCAACACTGGTGTTCATTTTTTTTTATTGAGAAGTAAGAAGGCCGGGAATTAGGACTTTTATTAGTGCAACTACTGTATTTAATGGGATATTTAATGTATATTGTTTACACTGAAGGTAGAAATCGTCAATAAATATAACACATTAGCTTAAAACTAGCGACTTTAACACCCAATACCAACAATATTCTATCTTTTAGTTTTTATTAACAGCCCTCTAGGCTTGGTATATTGGATTATATTTCAAATAGGATCAATTGATATTTGGATGGTTCAAAGTTTGACCATGTTTTGGGTGTATGTTTCAAATAGAATCAACTTATTTCATGATGTTTGTGTGTGCAAAAACTTTGACACAAAAATGATGCATTCTGTACAGGTGCCTATAGATAGCTGGGTCTACTGAGGAAAGATGACTTATTCAGTGTCCATTTACATCTGGGTTGACTGCAATAATGACATTAGATGACTTATTCAGTTCCCATTTACAGCTGGGTTGACTGGAATAATGAGGCAAAATGACTTATTCAATATTTATTTATATCTGGGTAGATTAGAATAATGAGGAAAGATGTCCTAATCTTATGTTATCTTATTTTTATATTATATTATATTATTATTTTCCAGGTACAGTAGAACTAGAGAGTAGAAGAGTATATATTTAAACAGTTTAAAGATGGCGGATGAAGGTAATATACAATATCTTATTATACAAAATTTGTGTGTTTGTTTTTTGCAACAGTTATGAAGCTATGGAGATTATCTCTCTAAATATCAGCTTATCACTGATAAGTTTAATTTCATTTTGTGCCTATTTTATTAGTCTTATTAGGTACAGTAAAAATTTCACAATGATATGATAAAACAATCTAAAAAATGCAGATGAAGATGTTCCATGTTTTTTCTGTGGGTCACTCAAATTGCCATATTTAAGCAACGAAATACTATGATCAATAAAACTACTTTAACAGTGTTTGATTGGTTAGCGGAAATTATGATGCTATTGGGTCAAAATTCTACAGAACACGATTGAAAGAAAAACTTGTCAGATCATTCAAGTAAAAAGTTGAAAGGAAACATCTATATGTGTATTTTAAATCCTAGTACAGTTCATGATATTGTCAATGCGTGGGTTGACCTGATTTGAATATAAACCTTTTTGAAATATAAGAATTTGAGTAATTTTGACCTAGAAAACATTATGACATGATAGATTTGTATTTTGTTCAGTCAGCCATTGATTTGATCTCATATAATATACAGGTGTCAGAGTTTGTAATTAACTTTCCCTAATTCCCCAATGCCTTTTTGGTTCTCATTCGCAAAGCCGTCATGTTAAAATTGCAATAGAATTGACAGACAATTGGAATCTACAAAGTTTTCAAACACTTATTTGTGTTTGATAGACTAAAATATTGGACCATTTAAAGCACTCAAATATCTAAAAGAACAACAAAACATTCATATCAAATACTGTCAATTACTCTATTTAGCAGAAGACATTAAAGACCTTCATTTAAAATATATTTCTGTTAGCCCACATCTCTATGTGTGTACGTTGATTGTCAGCCCCCATGTTTTTCCATTGGGTCTGATTTTAATTCCAATTTTGTCTGCCTCACTGCTAGATCGTGGTGTAATCCTTCTGCTAGTTTGACATTTGGATTTCACTCTTGCTTGAAATATTTTTATAAAACATAAGAGAAACTGATATAGAAACTGTTAACTGTCATATAACCTATGATTGAAGGCTGACTGTTATCATGTCATAATCTTCTAGCTAGGGTTAGTAAGATATTATAATGTCATATAGACTTTACCTACACATTGATGTCATTGTGATTTTAAAATATTTTGAAATATTCTCAGTGCAACTGTTATAAGAACAATATACCCCAATATAATAATCTACCAGCTAGTTAGACACTATGGTTTATATCAATGGTGGCTCACTGTTATCTGTTAAAATCTACCAGCTAGTTACAGATCACCTGGATTTACCTACACTTTATAATTTTTAAACATTGAATAAAATAAAGGTTTTTCACTCAGAAAACTCTAAAATGCAATATAATTGTCATCGAAGGCTCATTGCTATCATGCCAGAACTTGTTAGAGCTCACATGGGGTTTACCTAAACTAAATCATTTTGAAAAAAATAGAGGTTTCTCAGTGCAACTTCAGAAAACTTGAAACTGCAAAATAACTGTCATCAAAGGCTCACTGCTATCTTACTAGCTAGATAGAGATCACAAGGATTAATTAAACTTAATGATGGAGGTTTCTCAGTGCAATTAATATAAAAACTCTAAATGGTGATTTCACCCTGTGTTGTATTATGTATTAATGAATCAAATCTCACCTTGTTATAATTAAGTTAAAGTTTTTAAGTTCAGTGTGAATATTTACAGTTGAATGAAGTTGAAATAGTACGAGCAACGAGCAACGTATTTTATTATCACTAATACTGAATAAGCATATTTCTTACTAGGTCTTTATATACTGTATATAGTTAGTTAGCTAACATAGGACAGCTTAGACTTGTTACTGAAATCATAGCTTATATATATATATGTGTATAACTTGTAACTTATGAATAAAACACTATTTAATGAAAAAACAAGAAAAAAACAACACAGGAGATATAGAGAATTTAACATTGAGTCATCATTGAGAGAGATACACTACCTTTCTCTGTCTACAATTACAAATACTTTTATATGAGTTAAAATATCAATTACAAACTACCACTGAGAGTTTTAAATTGTCTTAGGTAGATGAAGACCACTGGAAATAGGATTTTACAAAAAGAAATTTTCAGTCTGAAAAAGGGGTCATCTCTTAGTTGAGGGTGATTTACTCAAAAGTAAAATCACCGAACCAAATACTTCTATGGACCCAAAGACAATAAAGATAAATGGCACCCAATTGAAAATTTTATTTTAGATATTTGCGAATTGAGGGAAAAAAAACTTCAATTCTGTGTTCATTGTAGACAGAAAGTAATGATGCAGGCACTTGAGCGATCTTGGTGGACGATTTTGTCTTATCATGAGTTTTGCCGACCGGCTGTGGGCACAAGAGGAGACAAAAAATCTGGAGTCAGTCATTTCCCACTAAGTCAATTTTAAGTGCGGATCATGCAATTGAAAGGAAAATTAAGCTGATTGGATGATGACGCTCTGTCTTGCAGATGATGAAACAATCAACGATAATATATCAAACATGAAATTTTAATCAGCGGCAAAAAAACAGCGACCAATACCGTTAGTGTGTCCGCACCCTTATATATAATATTGTAAAGTTTGAAGAGTCTGGTCTCATGAAGATGATTTAAATATTTTCAAGGTTAAACTGACATTGTTTAATATTCAATTTTAACCAGACATGATTTTTATTTTAAATATTTATCAACTGAAAGATTTATGAGAGTTTTAAACAATTTTAGAGGACAGATCTATTTTAAAATATGTATTTAAAAGTGGAAGTCATACAATGTTATATATTCTATTTATTATACTCTATTTATATCTTGTCTGAAGTTGAGAGGTTAATAAAGAATACTATAATCTTAACCCTGCTTTAAGATAGATAGGACCCAGTGAAACCTCATTTCTCTCTACATTACCCTTCATGACAAAATAGACTGCATGTGGTTAAATCACTGTAGATTAAAATTAAACTAAAGATTAAGTAAATATGATAATAGAACTTGTTTGATAAACTTCAGTATTCAATAATTGCTCTTGGAGTAGGTAACTTTTTTTTAGTAGGGGTAGGGGAGGGGCAGCCGAGTAGGGGGCCACAGAATAGTCGAGAGAGGCTACAAGTCTATTCTTTCCTTATGTAATATAAGAAATTTGAAAGTAATGGGACCAAAGTCGCTGGTCTAAACTAATTTTATTTTAAAATAGAATTAAACAATGTAATACAATGTAACAGTTTATATATATTATATTATTATAAACAGGTGTTATAATTATTAAACTGATATCAACACTGAAAATAATACATAATTCACATTTTATTACTGTATGAAGTCAACAGTCAATATTCTAACATGGAAGAGAGTGAGCATAACTAATAACTCTAGGGGAAAATTACAGGATTGCATAGAATACTACTCATATTTTCATAGTTCTCAATATTTGTTGAAAAATAACAGATTACTGTATTTCTTAAAATCTGATTTTATATTCAATATATTTCTCTAGGCTTTGCATTTATACCTCAAATATTTTTGTATATTTTAGATATTGTGATGACCCCGTCGAAGAAGGGAAGTGCGACACATATAAAAATAGAAAGAAAGAAGAAGTTAAATTTAGATGATTCGGCCGTGGTTCACGAAGGATCAGGGCAGAATCGTGGTTTAGTCATCAACAAACAGGCCTCAGGTTTGTTGATAATTATATGAATAAATTAATGATAGGTGTGGTGCCAGGCATGGTATGCTTACTCTTCTAGACACCTGATACCACTTTTCATTATGAAATAATTACTCACTTATTCTTGATATACTTCCTCAAGTTCATTAACTGTTACCTATGTTTTATCAATATGTTGGTAATAATTTATGATGATATTCCAGCTGATGCTGATGACCTGTCAAAACCTCAGTTACAACTTGGTTTCATGTGTTTCCTTGTCGACCAAAAAACAGGCAAACATTTTGTGGTAAGTTAGATGGTTGCATTTATTACTTTTTTTTTTTTTTACAGCCAAATTCAAATCCACATTCTAATGTGAACGTATATTGCCATTACCTCTGTCCGTATGACGGTGTGTACATTTATCCAAAAAAAAACATTAGCTGAAATTGAAGGTCACACAGCATAAATTCAGAGCAAACACATATTTCAATTTATTAACTCAATATTTCACATGCTCATATAGTCAGGTCTTTCAAGTTCTGTTAAAATATTGGAGTGTTAATTAATATTTTACAGGAAAGTCGAAGACTAAAATTTTGGTATCGAGAAGGTGTGGACTATTATAACCAAGTTACGACGGCATACGATTTCTTTAAAGAACTTGTTAAACCTGATAACTTCCCTAAAGGTAAGTCTATCTCTTATTTATCAGATAATATTTGTATGTGTTGCCAGATTAGTAGCACACTGGTTTCACCCTGCTCGGATCGCGTGTGGCAGAAGTTGGCCAATAGGACAATAAAAAGAGGCCCTTTAGGCTACAGGATGTGCACGTTAAAAATTCCTCGATAGGAAAATGGTAAAGATTACGCTAATGTCAGTGTTCTGGCAAAATTAAACTCTCAGTTCACTCTAAACCTCAGTTTCATTTTGTTGCCAGATTATGCAGGGCTTATATGGAAATAGTTTTCTGTGTTGCCAAATTATGTAGGAATATTTTTCTGAGTTGCCAGATTATGTAGGAATATTTTTCTTTGTTGCCATATTATGTAGGGCTTATAAGGAAATAGTTTTCTGTGTTGCCAGATTATGTAGGAATATTTTTCTATGTTGCCAGATTATGTAGGAATATTTTTCTCTGTTGCCAGATTATGTGGGGTTTATTAAGAAATGTATGAAACAGATGCAAGGAGATAAATATTCTCAAGCTGTCAAAGTTGATTTAGAAATACAACAACTTGATGATAAAGATGCCCCCCAAAGTCCAGGTACGTGCCCTTTTTTTCTTAACCCTTTGGTATCAGTCGGATAGTGTCTCATATAATTTGTAATGTTTCAGATTGGTGGTTGTTATAAGTTAAAAATTACCACCTAGAAGCTAACTTTAGAGAGTTAAGGTTGTAACTTTGTACTAATGACAAAGTTACGAAAGTACTAATGACAAAGTTACGAAAGCACAGGCAAATGACTTAAGTATACGGTGTCAAATTAGAAAAGGTTTGATAAATATGATCCACGTCCATTTAATAAGTATTAATTTTCTGATATTGACATGAATTATTAAAAGTAAGAGTATTATTATTGATGATATTTTAACTTTTATTAGAAAATCTAATCTCTGTGGATAATATAGGTAAGATGTGGTACATTGTTTAAACTATTGTAATTTCACTGTTTATTTTATTATTTATCTCACGACGTTTCATTGTTTAAAATAGCGAGTAGCTACACTGGATGGTTATCACTGGCATGCCAAATAGCAAAATGATTAAAATGCAGATCAAGATGTTTAGTTTTTTGCAGGAGCTTACTTCATTTCTCAATCAAGATCTAACAAAATTCTTCTTTAAAACGTGTTCTGTGCAATTTTGATCAAATACATTCAAAAGTTGTCATATATGTTAACCCAAACAATGTTAAAAGTGAACTGACAGAATATCACATATTTCCTTTGTGAAATATTGTCAAAGTTGAAGCAGATCATGGACATGGATCATGAGACTTTTTGGCAGACTTTCTACTCATCAAATTCGATTACGCAAATGACTTATTTGGTAGGACCATATTAAAATCATCCAGTGTGCCTTTGCCCTTCAATATTTTTATTAAATATTGTTTTATTTCATTCATCCATATTGTTAGTTCCAGCACCCTGTTGATTATTGTTTAGTTATTGTATTTCTGTCAAACATGGGAAATAATTTTCCTCTAGGCAAACAGACTTGAATCCTTAAATGGTAATCTATTAAAGGGATTATAAAGAGGTTTTGTAAATGTTTTACGTGTATTTGGAACACTGATAGCATCAATTTGCGCCATTTTCATTCTATCTCCTGTGGTTCCAATGTGAAAAAGTTTCATTGTAAAGTTACGGAACTAGCGCTTTGGTTGAAAACATTTTAAAAAAGTAAACATTTACTCCTGTAAAAGTATAAGGGAGATGTAAAGCCCCTTCTCAAACTCTCTAATTTTCCATGTTTGACAATGATTTATTTTTCATCACCGTGTTGTTTTAAGTTCTTTTGATGTTCTTTGACTGTTGTTATGTTCTTGGATTTTGTTTTTCAATCATCTTTAAGGGTAAGATTAGATAATATGGGCTCCAAACTATTGTTCATGCCCCAGTCAGGTTTTTATAGGTGGTGAAGAGTTTATAAAAGCCTGTTGGAATAGACTGGATTATCAATGCCCTTTCCAAATAATGTTTGACAATAAACCAAAACACCCTTAATCTATATCAATTACTGCTTTATTTAATAATGTAACGTTTGATATTAAGGGATGAAAGCCGATACCAGTCTGACACTCAGAAGCACTGGCACAGGCATCAGAATTTTTTTCTTATCATATGATTGGGATTCGAACCCACTGTATCTAATGGCCTAGCAGACGACAATCCAACTCCCTACTGACTGAGCTATATCACCATCCAAGAAGACGACAATCTAACTTGCTACAGACTGAGCTATTCCATTGTATAATGGTATATCTTTTCAATCTAACGGCACCATCATCATATCATGGGAAATAGGGGGCATTGTTATTATAAAATAACGTAAAATACTTTTTGTGTCAGGTTTAGAAGGCCTTTTTGGTTCAAGTAAGTAAAAAACAGGAGAGAGTTGTCATAAACATCATATCATATTATCAGGTGATCATATTTGAATTCGTGCTGGAACATAATATTGGTAGATTGATCATTTGCGACAGGGCAATAACAGTATACTACAATATATATATTATTGTGTGAATGTGTATTGATACTTTGTATACATATTTTATATAATTTACACCATCCAACGCTATCAAGTTCCATTCATGAATAAGAATCGTAATATTTATCGTATCAAGGCATGATTGGCAATATCCAGCACTAATTTAAATATTCTCACAAGCTCTGATTGGTTGAAATTTATAATTTAATCAGATTTGACCAATGAGAAGCTGTAGAGATATAAAGTTATGATATTTATGACTACCTGCTCCAGGGTTTTAATTAGAGGTGCATGCTATAAACAAATTAAGAATTGATTTTGAAATCAGGGTGTTTCTTGACAAGTGTTCATAACTTTTACAATCTTCATTGTTGGAAATTAAGGGCAGACATCTTTGAAGGTCCCCATTCAATCATACAGCAATGTGTTTGGTCTGTTACACGAAGTGTCATAGCTTTTACAATCAGGATGAATCTTTGGTTATAAAATTATAGCTAACAGTAATCAAACCTGTGTAAACAAACTTAACAAAAGTGAAAGTCAAAATTTTCGAAGAATAACTGTTTTCTGAAAAATTCTGAATTTTAGTTTTATTTGCTATTTCTGTTAAAATGTTCACATTTGTGATTATTAAAAGGAAATTATTTTCATTATGAAATAATGACTCTCTTATGATTGATATATTTCCTCATGTGAATAATTAATTAATAACTTCCAATGTTTCCTCAACTTGTTGTTTAGATTTTGGGTTTTGCTTTGTGGTTCAGATTGTTAGTACTTGGTTTATTTATTCTTTTCTGCTGTAAAAGTTATGAACACTTTTGGTTTTGAGTGTGGAGTAAGGCTTTGGGTCTAATTTTTGAATGATTAGATAATTTGAATAATTTGTGATTCCTGCAACTTTTTTCTTTTAACTTTTTTTCTGTTCTGAATTTATGATAGATTCTGTCATCTTTTTCTGCCAATTTTAGGCAAGATTCCGGTGTGTTCACACACCGATTGACCTCATCGTTCCAGTCTTCCCAACTATATTTTTATATATTTTCAATGTGTAACTTAATGCTTAGTTATTTAATAGAGTAAGAAAAATACGCTTTTGTAGCAAGATTTGATAACAAATTCTAACAACTTTTGAGGTTTATGGTCAAAACTGACTGAAAGTGATTATAAGAAGAATTGTTCTGTGTGTTTTAAAAACATTAGCTGATTCTAGGGCTGTATTCACCCAGTGTAGGCAATCTGATATAATCCCCTAAATCTTGGAACCATCAGAGACAAGAGGCTTGGTTCTTATCTTTATCTTCAACAAGGTTTTCAGCTTTTGAGAGGTTCTTTACCGATATTTCTATTTTCTAGTAAATTTTCACATTTTTAGAAATCAAACCAAATTCGAATGAAACAGAATTGATGTTTTTTTGAGCAAAAAGCAAATTTTCTTGAACCACTTAATAGTTTAATTTGGCTGGCTACTGTTTTTCGAAATTTTTTCAATTATAGAGGCTACACTGTGATGCTTTCCCCAAATTTGTTTTTATTGAGTCAGCATGCATGTGTGTTCATGCACTAATGTGTGTTTTTGTGAGCATGCATGTGCAGTGTTAATAAAAAGTTAATACAAAATTTATTCACGAAGTTTTTGAGATATTTCAAAGGATATTTTTTTCTTAAACATTTGATATTTTTTGAAATTTTATTATTTTTAAGGATATTAGCTTCCAGTATGTTTATCTAAATCTGTTTTTATATTTCTACAAATTGCTTTTAATTATATATACTCATTTTGTTGCCAGTAGTTTTCGGGTATTGTTACAGCAATATTATTACAGTGTGTAACTCTTAAAACAGAAAAAACCATAATTTTTCCTTGAGTGAGTGTTTGTGGTGAGACACAAGCAAGTTTTCCATGGCCAGCAAATACAGGTTAAAAAGCTGTGGGTAAAATTAAGAAAATTTTAGGTCAAGGAAAATGACCTCAAGTGGATATGATTTTAAAAATAATTTGGAAATTAGAAAGTAGCAAGATTTTGTATGAAATGAAACACAGATGCTTGCTTTTCTTTGATATGTTTAAAAAGACTAATGATATGTTAATGATATGTTAATGATATGCACAAATAGTGTGACAGTTGTAGAAATGATTTGATTGGTTGATGAATTTATCATTTATATTCCAGGTTTCAGAAGAGAAGATCTCCGGCCTCAAACTGAAATCTGTCGTGAGAAGTTATTGCATATTTTAGAATCTGCGTATCCTAACGTGCTCGCTGTGGAAGATCTTGTCAGGTTTGTTATTCAGCCATATTCTGGTCACGTTAATTTGATAAAAATACAAATCTGGATATTCCCTATTGTGTTTCATCTTTCGATAACTCTACTTGCCTTCCATGATCAGACGAAATTGTTAAGAATCTAATGTTCAAGGCCATTAAAGGGTAATTAAAATACCAAGATAGTGTACAAAATAGAAAAAAAGCCAAGGTCTAAATCAGGGATCATGAATTGCCCAAAATGCCGGACATGACCGACTGATTTAGACTCAGTGATTTTCTCTGGGTTGTTACCTTTGCTATATGGGATGTCACCTTTATAAACCAAGAAATGTATAACAGAAATCTTCAGATATGGACCCACAATTCCACATATTTCTTTCCAGAATTACTGCTTTTGATGAAACTATAGTAACAGCACAGCTAGATGAGTTGAAACATAAAGAATTAGTTCGTACTCTAGAGAATGGAGGAGTTGTTCGACAAGTCTTGGATGAAAAGACTGGAAAAACAGGTAAGAGACTGGACAATAATGGTTGACCCTATATTACATTACTATGGCAAAAGTTGTGTTATCTATATCATTAAACGCTTAGTTTTAGTGGAATTGCAGGACCAGTCAATAGACATCTGACTGAACATTTCATTAATTCATTCATCCAATTGTTCATTCAATCATTCATTCGTTCATCCATCCTTCCATGAATTCATTCATTCATTCATTCATTTGTTCATTTAGCTATTCATTCTATCTGTTTATTATAGAGGTACAAGTTGTTAAGAATATGCCCATGATGTCATCTAGTGATCAACCAACTATAGCTATAATAACAGCTCTGTATTGTGAGAAATTAGCTATCGACTCTATGATGGAAAATAAAACAACTTATGTTAAATATAAAACAGAAGGTAATGTTAGTTTTATTCTGTGTTTATCAGGAATCCATGGCGTCTCAGTGATTTTGAGGGGTGGGGTTATTTCATGGCAAAGTATCTAGTGGTTCAGGTGGTACCATAAACTGATGCCCAGTGTTTTCCTGACTATGTACCATAAAGATCTCTTAATAGTTGGAAATGAAAAAAAAATTGCTCAAACATCTGGGACCTGGCAAAATTTCCCTCATTGCAAACTTCAAAACATAGCCTATATATGACATTAGGCTTCATTTCATTAATGAGCTACACCCAGACCAGTTACTGTGTCAGTAAAGTTGTTCGGTAGTAAAAAGTGAAGATGAGAGTAATATATGATATTTTATATTTACAGGAGAATCTAATGTATATACTATAGGATATATAGGAGAACATAAAATAGTCTCCACTAAATTACCAGCTATCGGTCATTTCCGAGCTGCACAGATATCTTCTGGTAACTCTACTACTAGGTTATTAGGTAAGTTTTTATTATAAGTAGAAATGTTAGAATTGTTAAATTCAAGTGGGGAGCCACGAGTTGAAGTATCTGGACCTGATCTAACTTGAATCTTATTTTAATAATGGGGTGTCGTAAGTCAAAACAAAGATGGAATAAGTAAATTATCACTTGCACCTTTCATATTAAAGTTTTTAAGCATAAGGCACTCTCCTTATTTCCTTCAACTATGCTAGATGTGTCTGTTGATGGATTTTGTTTTGATTTTTGTGCTTTGGACTGTCAAATTTATTTCTATTTGACAAAAAAGAATATCACAAATTCAGAATGTTTCTGTCTTCTAAAGTTAGTTGTTAATTTAGTGTAGATTCATTAGTGTAGTTACACTTCTATAAATGCAGAGGTTCAATGCCTTGTTGTTAAGTCTGTTGTTGGATTTTGATTTCAATTTTATGGATTGGACTGTCAAATTTATTTCTATTTAATATAAAAGAATATTTAATGTTTCAGGTGGATTCCAGAATATTGAGCATGTTTTTATCTGTGGAGTAGCAGGCGGGGTTCCGCATTATACCAATTATTTCAAACATGTCCGCCTTGGTGACGTCCTCCTGTCTCGTCAAGATGAGAAGGGCTATATCTATTACTATTGCGATAAAATCTTACGAAATAAAGAAAACGATGTCCATTATAATATGAAAACTTGGGCGCCGAGAGATTTAGAATTACAGAAAATTGCCGAGAAGATCGAAGACTTACAGAAGTCGAATCCAAGCTTGGCATCATGGGAAAGATATATGTTAGAGGGCGAACAGATACTTCAAGGTCAAGAGAATAATTTCGAGCGACCGCCAGACAACACGGATAGATTGTATATGGATCTTGGAGACGACCAGGTCATTGAAGTTCAACATCCTAGTCCACCAGAGGGCACTATTGTACGAGAAGGGTTACCACGGTTACATTTTGGAGTATTTGGATCTGGAAGTCGAGTTGTTAAGTCGGATTCCATGCGATTAGATTTCGCCAGTAAATATAATATAAGTGCGTTTGATTCGGAATTCGATCAGGTTTTGGAATCTATTGTCGGAAATAGAAAAGACAGTTTTATGTTCGTTCGAGGTATTGCTGATTATTCCGACGGCACCAAAAATAAGAAATGGCAGTCGTACGCCGCCCTGGCAGCCGCAGCCGTAACCAAGACAATTATTAAATCAATTGGAAAACGAAAGATTGATGTTTAATTGAACGTTGTTTTAGTTTCTGAACAATTTGTTAAATCTCAAATCATCATAGTGCCGTTATTTCAGCCAATCAGAGGCTTAGTTTATCATTCTAATATACGTTATAACCAATGGGAACTGGGGATTTTCATTCTGTTTACATTTTGATATCATAGCATTGATTTGTTCAAATCTTTTGACGAATTAATAAGATCAGTTTGTAATTTCGAATATTTGAACCAATTAATACTGTTATGTTAATAATTTGTCCAATCAGAGCGTTGATTTTCATTTTGACCAATCAGAGCCTTGATTTTCATTTTGACCAATCAGAATTGAATAGAAGATTGTCATATTGAATATTTAGACCAATGAAAGCTCTGGTTTACCATTCTGTTTATATAATAACCAATCAGAGCTTGGTATTTTTATTCTATGTAAAATTTTAAACGTCATTCTTGAATATATATATCAATTCATTATAGTATAAATAACCATCCTTCGTCATTTTTTATTATAACTCAAAATATACGCTTTTTGTAAAAATAATCTGGTACATGTATATCCATGCTTTCTAAGATTATAAATTATTATAAACCTTTCTTATGTTGTTCAAACCTTGTTACTAAACCTATCTTGTATTTCTTATTCTAAATTATCAATTGAAAATATATTTCCCTGCTTGACCAACCTCACGCATAAATACTATTGTTGTAACATGGTATACCTTCAAACTTTTTGAATTTATTTAATTTTTAAATCTATCTATTTATCATCTTTACATTCCAGTCTTTATATAGTGCTCAGTATCTTTATTTATCTTTACAAATTCAATTAATAGATTCCAATCAGAAGTTATGTTTATTTTTATCTAGTGCTTCTCAAAACAATGTTTTATTAGACTGTTTTGAACAATGTGCTGGACCTTATTCTTGAAAAAAATGAAAAAAGACTTTTATAGTTCAATTCCTCTATTTCTTAACATTTAGAATTGATTTTACTTTAGAAAAATACCCAAGGAATATTAAGTGCCCATTGTAGCCTACTAATTAATTCTGTCCTGTAATTATAAACCATCCTACATTGTTATACTTTGTTTGCTGATAATTGTTATCATTACCATGCTTGCAGCTATTAAATTTTGTCCTTTTACAATAACCATCCTTATGGTCTCCGCCTCCCGCGCTACCCTGAGACCTGTATTGTCCTTATTACTATGCATCTTGTTATTAATATTTGTAACTTTCTTGTTAGAAATCACTGTTATTAACTGATATATCTACACCCTGGTTTTCATGGTCTTGTATTTTATATACTGTATAATTAGAAATATAATGCACACTGTTTCTTACCCTGGTGTAAATCTGAAAAAATCTGTCATATTTTACATTTTGAACTATGTTATATCTACGGATATATCTAAACCATCATGATTTACATCATATACTTGTAATTAATATACTTTATAATGGTGAATTTAACACTCATGTATATCGTGCACCCTTCTTACCATCTAGTAACACTGAAACAATCTCTCATCCTCAATAATACCCACCCTGTCTTATCTTTTTATTTTGATAATTTACTTTGTAATTTTATAAATCAGCAATATCTATTTAGATATCTCTAATCATTATTTCTATATCTCTTTGTTATAATTTTATAAATTATGGAAAATTTGTATACTGATATAATCTAGCCAAGAAGTTTAGACACATTCATATATAATTTAAAATATAATCACGAGCAGTCTGCTTTAGTCTGATGTAGATTGAATTAAAATTGAACTTGGATGTTGTATGTTAATCTGCGACAACTTACAAAATGAGGTCAACTGCTTGTGTTTATGTTTTAATTCATACAAGTATGTGCGTTAAATATAATTAATTTTTTTTAAACAACTATAATATACCAATCATTACCCTATAATTTTCATACACTGTTATATTATATTTGTTGATTTACTTGCCAAGTTTTTGTTTGTATCACAATATCTAACTATGTGTTTATAATATAATTGTGTAATTGTTAATATTAATATATCTATGATATTCATCTGGGTCAGATTTCTAACATGAACAAGAGTAGATCATCTTAACAATAAATAGATTTCAATATAAGTTTTTGATTGTTTTGATTTCATAGTAAGATTAACTACTCTTATTTTATATGCTGTAACATTGTGTTACTATCTGTTATTATCTATCACAAGGTGTTACTATATATTGCAATGTGTCTATCACAATGTGTTACTATATATTGCAATGTGTCTATCACAATGTGTTACTATATATTGCAATGTGTCTATCACAATGTGTTACTATATATTGCAATGTGTCTATCACAATGTGTTACAATGTATCATGTGTTATGTATCACAATGTGTTACTTTATATTGCAATGTGTCTATCACAATGTGTTACTATATATTGCAATGTGTCTATCGCAATGTGTTACTATATATTGCAATGTGTCTATCACAATGTGTTACTATATATTGCAATGTGTCTATCACAATGTGTTACTATATATTGCAACGTGTCTATCACAATGTGTTACTATGTATCATGTGTTATGTATCACAATGTGTTACAATGTATCATGTGTTATGTATCACAATGTGTTACTATATATTGCAATGTGTCTATCACAATGTGTTACTATGTATCATGTGTTATGTATCACAATGTGTTACTATATATTGCAATGTGTCTATTAGTATGTAATGGTAAAAGTAATTTAGATAGCACTGTGTTTGTACACCTGTTAGCTCCTAGGTAAATATCTCTGTTGTAAAATATTATAATTATCCGTGGTGTTGAATGTTATTATTATTTTTGGAGCCTTAAACTACACCAGTGTGCTTTAAGTTTAATAGTTTCTTTTTTATATTTTCTTTACTAAATTTTACTTGAAAACGCTACAGAATAAAAACTAAACCAAGCTTTAAATTTATACCTTACATTCCACTTTGACAATTGCATCAACTGTTGATAGATTTTATACTTCTAGTAGGCACATAATATAACACAATGTATAACATTTTAAATTCTTGACACAGTTTAAAATTGATAAAAAACTTAACAAATAATGTTCATGTACAGGTATTGCTTGAATATGTTCAGTGAAGAGCAGAAAAGGTGGATGACAAAATTCCATTTTTATATGGCCACATGAAATGGGGGGTGTACTGCTAAATATTTTTATTTAAAATCAAAGCTGCCAGTGGGCGAATATTACCTTGCCTGACAAGCTATCTTATTTGCATAAAATCCTTATTTCAAAATTTATCGCAATGCTGAAGTTAAACCGGTATTGCTTGACTTCCTTGGCCAAATCAAGAACATTTTATTTACACAGCTAAGCCACTAAGGTTCATATCTTTTTATCTGAAGACAGGTGTAAATTGTGTTGAAACATTATGTGTTAAATTATTAAAGAAGTGAGTAATACCATAATAAAGCCTATATACTTTGTGTTTTGTTATACATGTGTCTGTATTTTGGTCCTAAATGATGTTACAGTCTTGCATCAATTAAGACACTACAAAATTCAATCTATTTAGAATTTTTAGAATTGAGTATAGATTATCTTGATAGTATTAGATTAATAGTACTTTGTAGAATATATATAGATTTTTAAATATATGTAGCACAATTCCTATTAAAAATGCACATGCATTCACTGTTAAATAGGTCACCATTGTTTATATTTATATTATAGCTGAATATTGCATTGCAATAATATAATATTAAGGTGTATAATAGGTTTGTGAATCAGTATTTGTATAAGAATGAACTACACAAAGCTTAATAACATATATTAATTTTAGTATATTTTGCACGGACGGGGCTCTTGTTTTCTTGCTTTTCAGACTTTGATTCTTGGTATTGAATATATATATTTACAAAATCCACCAAAAACACTGGATCATTTCTTTGATGTAAAATGGAGCCAATGTCGCTTAATGTGAACTTTCTAAAAAGTATGTATAGTGGTTTAGACTGAAATTAAAAGAGAGCTCCAAGTCCTGAGCTTAGACAGGAAAGGATGAAATTTCAAATAGCTTTGAGTTCATTAACATTATACTGTATTGATGAAAATGAGATAAATAGGAAAATTTTTCAGCAGCTTTGAGCTCATTATCAATATAATATAATGATAAAATGATAAAAACAAGATAAAAATGTTAAATTAAGATAAAATAGAAAATGTTGTGAGCTCATGAACATTATAATGAAATGTTAAAAACTATAAAATAGAAATATTTCCCTAGTTTTGAGCTGAATAAGATTAATATATTATATAATTATTTGTGCTTCCTGTTTTTATTTTATTATATTTTTATATACACATCATTTCTCTTTTAAACTGAAATTTCATTTTGTAGAAATAAAACTTGTTCCATCATTATTTCTGTATTATTTTTGGGGATTAAATAAGAAAGGAAACATAATGTATATAACTTTCCATTTTACATCAATTACATGTTATAGTTTATCTATCTGTTTCCTTGTGACTTTTATAGTATATCTTATATACAGTAAAACTCCATTTCATTTCATTTCTATTCCTAGAATACTTTGAAAAATGATTGTCCATGAAGTCGAGCAAGCACAGTGGTGAGGCAAGCATTCTAGAATGGGGGGTATAAACAGGGGGCAAACTGATAAATGGGGGGACAACTGTCAGGAAAAATTTTGATACCGGTAAATTGAATTGAATTGGTGAATTCTGACATATATTTGGAACAAAGTATAAAAATCATATTTTGAAATGTCTTATAAATAAAGTGGGGGTGCACATGAGGGTACAACCTGGTTTTCTAGGGGGGGCTAAATGTCTACTCAAATGATAGAATTCTGCCGTAACAGTGGGTCTAATTATTTAAAACAAACCTTAAATAAATACAATATAGCAATAATTTATTATATTATTAATATCAATCAATTCAGCATCAATTCTAGTAAAATACACAAGAGATAGAAATATTCATTTCACAAGTACCAGGGTAAACAACTTACAGGAACTGGGAGATTTTCAGATATCAGTTTTAATCAAATATACAGGTTTAAAGGTATATAGTGGTTGAAATATTCACTTTACTAGGGACTTGGGAGGTTTTCTTGTATGTGTATGGGAAACACGTTTGGTTTTATCTGAACCTATAACAAAACACAAGATCATATTATGGAATATAACACACTTCTTTATTAAGGTTGGACACATAACGTTTCAACACAATATACACGTGTCCTCATCAGACCTTATTAAAGAAGTGTGTTATATTCCATAATATTGTCTTGTGTTTTGTTATATGTGCTCCTCGCTTCTATATGTCGTTCAAATCTTTTACCTGAACCATTCCAATTCCCTGCCAACCATCTTTGGTTCCTTGACCAAATTACAATTTAACTTCAAGTGAGGCTTACAGTATCTCTGATAAATCTACAAATTCATAATCATTCTGGCAGGTGAAGCCAAAATTGGAGTAAATCTTTACAAAATAACATGTTTCAGTTTGAAAGTAAAAAATAAGCACATTTAAAGTAAACAACAAAGAAAACAACAACAATATTAGACAAACAAATATAAAGACTAAATAAAAGGGAGGGTATTATAAGAGTCAACAAATTCTATATCAGTATTCTGTTGTTTTGTTAATTGTATTCTGATATGGCCCAGTTTTCTCAAAGAATTTTACAAGGATAACAACTTAGGTTCTCAAGGATCCTGTCTACCAGCATTTTCACAATGTCAAGCTATTATTAATATTACTAATACTAGTTCTTACAGGCAGTTCGTAATAGCTTGACACTCTGAAGAAGTTCTCTTGGACATGCAAGGATAGTAAGTTAGGTTTAGAGGATAATGTCTACCATTCGGTCCTTGGTAATGATTTTCTAACCTTAACAACTTGGGTTCTCAAGGATCCTATCTACCACCTGGTTCATTATTAAATGGAGATTCTAACTCACGGGCATCAAGGAACTAGAGAATCCATGTAGCCCAAACAACGGTAACTCTGTGAAATTAAACTTAAAAGATTTAAAACAAGCCAGCTTCACCACATAATCATACAACCATCTTGAAAGATGGTGTGATAACAAATATACCAAATAATAAATAGAAGCTAAGTGTCAACACATTCCAAGTTTACATTATTAGGTATGTAGACTCTCAGAAAGAGATGTCAAGTAGACAAACCTAAATACCAAATAAACATTATTAGCTATGTGGACTCTCTGAAAGGAAATCCTATTCGACTATTCCAGTCAACTATTCTAGAGTTTTGACACTTTCCCAGTAAAATATATTTTTGAAACAATGGCCTAGGTCATGGCATCTTGAAATACATTAAATAATAAATACTGATGATATAATATACAAAGTAAACCTGCGCGAACATGTCAATTACCACTTAACAAAAAATAGCTAAATACTACCAAAGCCATATACAATATTACTTTAGACGTTTCTCCTCAAAACCTGTCATAGGAGTTCAGTTTTGACAAACATGATAATTGATAATTATACATGAAACACAGCTGTATCTAGAGAGAGGATCCATTAACCAATATAACAGAATGGGCAAATATAAGTAGAAAGATACAACTATCTTGGAAATTTTACCCCTCAATACTGGTTTTTTAGATGTGGGGGTGGGGGTGGGGGGTCATTATTCTTTTGCCCCAGGGTTTAATTTATACATACTATATATACAAATAGAGCAATTACTCTTGTCTAATGACAAAATTACAAAAAAAAACACAATGGTTTAAAGATATTCTGAAGGGGGGAGGGGGAATGGAGGTTCTCAGGTGAACTCATGATTCAAAAAATGGATCCGTTTTCCTAACACAGATTGACTGATTTACCAAATGCTAACATCTATAAATCAACAGTAAAAAAAATCAAATTTTCTTTGAAAGCTATTCATCAAAGGATTGTTTTCAAGAGGCTCACTCTGACCTTTACAACATTCTGACCTTGACATTTTGACATTTGACCTCTGTTTATTCTTTATCTTTAGGTTGTATCCAGACCTGCCAGCCGAGAACTTGTCGATCGAATCCACAGGTAAATAAGTTAGTAGTGTTATCTACTGCCCAACTGACAGATGTCACCATTCTCGTATGGCCCTGAAAATATAAATGCCAATTACAATAATGATTCGAAATTTAAAAAAAATATTAATTATCATCATGACACAGCCTTGCGTTTAATTTTTCTGCATTTTTAAAACATTTTATAGCACCGCCAATCACATATTAAGTTGTACACAATGATGTAATCCAATGCTGAAATCCACAGTCCCTACTCTAACATAGGCCAGTGCTTCTATAAGAGAGTATATCTTATAAAACCTTATACCAAGACCAGTCAGCGAAACCTTTCTGTAACATGTGCCAAATTGTAACACACCATTTCAATCGATTAGACTTGATCACTGACAGAAACAAACTTGGCTTTAAATTCTCAACCTATATCATGATAACACCCTAAATTAAAAATAATTTGTTTACCTGACGACTGGAGCGTGGAAGACGTCCGATTCTATTACCGTTAATATCACATAGTTTAACATGTCGATTGTCTTGTGGTATAGCTATAATCTGAGTTGTTTCACAAACAGATAGTCTGTAATACAATATAATGATTAAAATTAATCTATTGTGGTCTAAAGAAAACCAAGGGGAGATAATATTGTGGTATAGCTATAATCTGAGTTGTTTCACAAACAGATAGTCTGTAATACAATATAATGATTAAAATTAATCTATTGTGGTCTAAAGAAAACCAAGGGGAGATAATATTGTGGTATAGCTATAATCTGAGTTGTTTGTCTGTAATACAATATAGATTATAACAAATTTATTGTGGTCTGGATAAAATCAAGGGGAGATAATATTGTGGTATAGATAATAAGACAAAACCAACTTCTTATAATAAATATGAACGTACCTATTGATAGCGGAATCACATTGTATGGTTGCTATTGGTGATCTCATATTACGTAAATCCCAGATCTTGGTTCGTCTATCATCACTACCAGATATAACACGGTCATTACTGGCAAATACTGCTGTTGTTACTGGCCTAAAATAGAATAACAAAACTTTTACTGGTATGTTGGCCTTTTCATTGTAATGTTTTATCAACCAATCAAATTACAGTGTTTCTTATCTTAACTCAAGTTTTAGTCTTACTTATCTTTCTGCACCATATTGGGCTTATGAGGTAACATGCAGTGTGCAATGAGGGAAATTTTGTGAAGACAACATCATTAACTAATTTCCACTGCTGAGAAATATCTCAGCCTGTAGCACACAGAGTCTCTGTTTATTGTATCATCCAAAACACGAGACACTTTTTCCATGTCAGACCCTCAAACCTACCTCACTGACAGGGGGAAACCTGGTTGAAATCCCAAGGTATTATCTTGACTTTGCCAGTACATTTGCTATAAAGAAACGTACAGGGAAATGGACTTACTGAGTGTGACCTTGAAAAACGTTAACCAACATGGCAGGAGCTCTGAAGTCCCACAATCTAAACGTTGTATCTTTAGAACAAGTGACCGCCATTCTCTGGACTGGATGAGCCTCAACTTCAGTTAATTCTTGATCGTGTCCAGTTAGAGTATTTATTATCTCCCCTGATTCTGTATCGTGTAAAATAGCTGTTCTATCCCATGATGCAGTGATAGCTTGAGCTCCATCTGCCATCCAATCAGCTGCTATAACTACACCCGTGTGACCAGTTAATTCGACCAATGGACATCGCTGTGTTACCGAGTCTACTACTTGGTCTGTATCTGAAAATAGAAACCAAACAAAATTAGCAGGCCTCCTCTTGTCCTTACTGTTCTACTATCAACACGATTAATTCCTAAAGAAAACTACGAAATAAAGAAACGTGTCATTATCGTCTGTGCACAGTTGTGACCAAAGAGGACTTGGAACATGACCCTGATATCAATGTAAATGACCAAGTCTACATTGACCAAGTCTACATTGACCAAGTCTACATTGACCAAGTCTACATTGTATATTGATGGGGTACAACTCTTACCTTCATTCATTTCTTCCTTTTCTGAACCTTCTAGATCATCTTCTCCAGAGGAATGAGATTTCTGAATCATAAAATTATATTAGATTTATAAAGAACAAGAAAATCTCTCTTTCTCTAAATTATCAGGGAAGTAAAATATATATTACTCCCAAAAAATATACATATATTGATCTGTTAATTTGGCTGTATTTTCAGTTTTTAATAACTTTGGCAGCAACCTTTTAACAGTCAGCAATTTGTCAAGAATTTGACTTACCAAAATAAAAAAAACATGGCAAAAGACAATAAAAATACACTTTTTCATTTTGAAAATCTTTGCCAAAACTTTACAGGAGAGTTAACCCTAAGACAAGGCACAATAAAAATAGAACTGGGGCCTACCATATTATCAACATGTGACGGTGTGGTCACATGACAACTCCAAATATGGGCGCGTTCATCTCCAGACCCTGTTAATACCAATTCTTTATCAGGGTGAAATCTGATGGAATTTACTGAGCCTTGATGTCCGGTGTATCGTAATAAACATTGTCCAGTCTCAATAGAAAATAATCTCGCTGTGTGATCTGTAAAATAGCAATAATATGATCTGTGCTCTAGATTTAATACATGGAACAAACAGGAAGTCAGATCAGGTAGTTAAGAAATAAATCACTAGACTCAGATTGCCTTACTAGCTGGTTCATTTGTTGGTAAAGATAATATCTGCATTCAGTTAACTGATATCACAGTCATTGTAGTTGGTAGTAGAATCTGGGTCAATTGCATGGTTTTGTACTGTTGATTTGGTATGAGCGAATCAGTCATCCTGATGAAGATTTTATACCCGAAACATTTATCAGCCTCTTGAAATGAGCTTTTGTCAAAAGTAATGAGGTTGAAGTCAGCGGACTTCCGGTTCTATTTACAGCTTACCAACAAACTGTCCACAAACACAAATCATTGAACAGCGCTAATAACATATAAGATACAAACCTGCGGAGGCTGTTCCAATAACATGGGGGTCAGTATGAGAGACCTTGACCTCCCACACGCCATCTCGATGACCTTGATATGACCTCACATAGGTTAACGAAGATGTGGGAGTTCGGAAACTAGAAACTATTTTACTGGTGGAGACTTTGTATGTGGATTTTATTCTCTGGGACAGTTGACTGGCAGCTGAAAGGGTAAAATTGAGATGATGATTCAAAGGTTTTAAATTTCAAAAGTTTAAACTATGGGGAAGTTTGTGGGAGAAGGACTCAATTTTTAAGAAATTATCAATATCATTTTTAGGTTTTTGACCTGGTATATGTGTCATTATGCTACAAATCAATTCTATTTTGTAAAAATGTTCCTTTAAATGAGAGAATCTCATGTATTTTTTATCAATACATGTATATGTATTGTTGCCATGGTGAAGCAGAGATAGAGGTCACAAACTAACAGATCTATATAAGGGAGAGAAAGCGGAGACAGGGGTGCTCTACTAAATAATTAACTAGGGGTAGATTAGGCAAGAGTAACTTACAGCGTTTTGGTTTCTGGCCGAGATCAGGAGTATCCTGGGCATCAACTAGTTTATTATCTGAGGTACTACTGATATCTAACTTCTCATTTAGAGTGTCCACACGCTCTTGTACTGAAAAATAATCACACATCTTCATTTAACTACAAATCTGTGTCTCTTACAAATTTCTGAAATGTAGTTTTATAACCAATATTTTACCTCTTAATGGGCTATTATCTTATTAATGGGCTATTATCTTATTAATGGGCTATTATCTTATTAATGGGCTATTATCTTATTAATGGGCTATTATCTTATTAATGGGCTATTATCTTATTAATGTTCTACTTTTCATCTTGACTACAGACAGGAGTGTGTAAAGAGGTCAACTTTTTCAGTTCATCTCATAAAGTCTATAGCAAAACCTCTTATAAGCATTAATTCAAGTTTTAATTAAAATATACTTACAAACTAAATTAGCTGAATAGAGCGTTTCAAATTCTTTCTCTATCTGACCAAATAAATCATACAAACGATCTCTAAAATTAATCAATTAAAAAAAATATACAATATATAATCAAATATATCTGTTTGACATATAGAAATGATCGAAATGAAATGAATGAAGTTTTATGTCCTGCTTTTCTGCACCATGTATGTTAATGAAGACGGGCAACACCATGCAGGGTGCCATGAGGGAAATTTTACCAGGACAGCAGCATTAATCTGCTCTTTGTAGATTTCCAACTGTCAAGGGATCTTTAAAATGCACAGCCTGTAGCACACGGGGCCTCAGTTTATTGTCCCATCCAACAACTAGACGTTTTTTCCATGTCAGTCCCTCTTACCTGCATCACTGACAGGAGGAAACTTGGTTGAAAAATCTGAAAGTATTATCTCAACCTATACCGGGATTGAACCCCTGTTCAGGTCAATAGAAATATTGTTGTGCTTCACATTATAATATACAAACTCTTACAGTTGTATCACTTATCTGAAAATCATAATAGCCCTACCATTTTCCTTACCCAGGCAATATTAGCTCAACAAATTGGTCCCTACCCCCTCGTATGTAATATCTTCACAGTTAGGCCAAGACTCGAAAGGTCGAATTTTATGGGAGTTCCTTTAATCCATTTTATTGTTGCTAGTTTTTGATAATTTTCACCATGACAAAAGCCAAATTTGGCAAAACTTTTGGTATTGACACCAAGCTGAACTATTAATGAATTCATCATGACATTTATACAGTCAAATCAATAGTACTAATCATTCCAAAATTTTGAGAGAAAAATCAATAAACTAGAAAATTAACATCAGACCAAAAAAAATGTTAACAATAAAATTATAAAATATAATCAATGTTCAAGTCTAGCTGCTATGAAAAGATAAAACTTGGCAATTAATCTTTTACACTAGAGTAGAGTCACTGTGACATGGTGAAAGGGGCAGAGGTTTTAAGAAGGGAGGGGTGGCTGAGGGGGAGGAGGATGGACACTCCAGACTTGGCTTTGGCAACTGGTTTCAATTTTCTCATCTTTGAGTTCTTAAATGCTTTGTGCCATTTGTCCACCTTGAACATTGTGTGGCCTCTATTAGGCCCTCTACTTAATGGTTGAAAGGAACACAACTAGAAAGGGTTTCAGATATGGAATCAATCAAGTTTTGACCACCTACAGTTTCAATTTTCTCATCATTGAATTCTTAAATGCCTTGTGCCATTTGTCCATCTTGAAAATTCTGTAGCCCCCTTAGTCTAATGATTCATAAAAACCCCACTGAAATGGGTTCAGATTCAACATAGGATACACAATGTAACTTTTGTCAACTTCAAGTCTGCAAAATTACCCATGAAACAAATTGACAGCCAGTGTTTTTTTGAACATCTAATCAAAAATCAAACATGACTGGCAAATACAGCCAAATCAACAGCTCTGATCCTTAAATTTAAAGAGAAAATACTTAAAAGAATTAAACAGGAAAAGAAATTTCTAAACGTAGCAGAGAATATAACTTTGAATAAAGAAGGAGAAAAAAGCTGCAATAAATAAATTTTTAAAAAAATAGAAGGAAAACAAGAAAAAAAGACAAAAACAATAAAAATAGAAGATAAAACAAAGATAAGAAAAGGAAAAAAAAAACAACCACAAATCATAAAAAAAACTAAAAAAAACTATTAATTAATTAAGAGAAATCAATTAAAAGTTAATGAAGTAATTATTGATTTTTACCTGAAGACAGGTGGCAGCCCTTCATTCTCCACGTCATCTTTAAAACGATTCATTCCACTCAAACGTTCCGAGCCTTCTGTATGACTTCTATGTCTGCGTATCATTCGAACACCTTTTGATTTCGTAACCTTGGTAACACCGTCAATCGGCATACCGCATCAATACCTCACAAATAATTCAACACTGAACTTTCCTTTCTTCTGATTGGTTGATTAATTATTTAAATTCCAATCCTTCTTCTTGGTAATTCCTCGCTCAAATCAACGCCTGGCTGACATTTCAACGGTGACTTCTTATTGTTTAAGCTGGAGATAAAAAATAGAAATCTGGAAATAACTCGAGAATCAATTATTAGAATTGTAACAACATAATCAATGAAAATTAATAACAGTCACTGATTTTCGTAGATTAGTTTCAATGTTTATATTCTCTTGTATACAGATGTAGAAAAAAATCTTGGAAAAACAAGAAAGTTCTAACATTCGAACTGCAGATTTTTATAGAATAGTATCAAAAGACATACAACTATAGAAAATATTATTGGAAAAGTAAGTTTGAAGGCAAGCAAGGGACGGTGTTATAAAGCTGCAATTTTCATTACTGTATACTATTGGTGTTGTTAAGTTAAAATAAACAATCCTTGGAAAAGCAAGAAAGTGTCAGTTCTCTGGAGCTGGAAAATTATAATATGAACAGTTTGAAGGAAAGCAAGGGTCAGTGTTATAGACCTGCAGAATTTCATAAAAATATATTGATGCTGAAGAAGGAAAAGTGAAAATATCATCATTCTTTGGCAAGGAAGAAAGTACCAGCAGTCTAAACTTGCAGAGTTTCATATAAGAGTATTGATGTTTATATTCTTACAACGATGTAAACAGTTGGTAGGCAAGCAACAAAGTGGCAGCGTAATAAACCTGCAGAGTTTCATAGACTTATTTTTGTGTTCTTTATAGACAAGCTTAAATACCTAGAAATTTATTGGACATTTATACATTTTACAAAGCATAAACAAATAATGATATAAACGATTCTTAGGAAAGCAAGAGAGACCTGATTTTCATAGACACAAATAGTATCGTTCAAAGACAAATGAGAAATAGGTTTTCTAAAGCTCAAGATTTTTACAGAACAAAATACTTGAAGTCAACTACTATACAATTTTTACTCTCGGATTTTGCTATACTTAGGACGAGATTTTGATGGAATTGTCTTACCTGTACGGATTTTAATTGTACAGAAATAAATATATAGAGGAATAATCCTAACGTAAGATTCACAAATGGTCATGAAGATACCCAAAGACTACACTACCTAGTATGCTGTCTCTGGTGAAGCTTACTATTATGAAATATATGTATTTTAATATAGTATTATTGATAGACAAGTGGGAAAGCAGTGTACTGGAGCTGGAGTTTTTACAGAAATATATTGTTGTACGAATACAAGTGTTATAACAGCTGTGTTTTAGACAGACTGATGTTAATTTCGTTCTATTTTCCATAAAAACACTCGGGTCTGACATTTCTCCAGGTTCAACATAATTTAAGTTTCATTTCTAAACATACTGTTATATATATATACATATAGTTAAAAAATGAATTAAGTTTCTACGTCCTACTTTTCTACACCTTAATGCAGACGGGCAACCATGGTTACGCCATGCATTTTGTAATGAGAGAAATTTTGCAAGGACAGAAGCATTAGTCTGCTCTTTTTTGGCAAGGCAGGTAATGGGGGGGTAGGGGTTGGTTGGAATTGCATTGCCCATCCGAAAAAACTGACTGCCTACCCACATCATCTCACTATTGATATTGAAGTCAATTTATTAATTCATCTGTTATTCGAGGTAGTGATAGTCAAATTGTGATGCTCCATAAAGTTTTATTGAAATACTTTACCTCTTTTCCTACTTCTGCGCTCCACAACCACTCCCAAATCTCGCCTCTAGACTAGCCCCCGCCCCCTCTCCTCTCCTTCAAAACATTTCAGTCTGTCTACGGTTCTGATTGGATCACAGACACGGCATTCACAAGGTTAGACCTCGCAAGGGAATCTGCGATCGAAAGAGTTGAGGGTGGGAGTTTTGGCTGGTGCAGTGGGGACAGTTGGTAGTGGTACTAATACAAGTGTAGGACTCAAAATAAATGGAGTTAATGACAGGGCACACCCAATCGCCAATGCCAATGGCCATTGCAAACATAATCAAAGGCATCTGTTAAATTTACAGTCCGATCGGTGCCATCTGCTGGCATCAGATGTGATCATGTCTGCTTGTATAATTGCTACAGTGTTAAAATTGAATGCAATGAAGCGTTTTCTCCACTAATTAATTAATTTGACGAACCTGGATTCATTTTCATAATCATAACATAGACGTAATTATCAGGTCTTATTACATTGAAAAGGCTATAAAACAAAATGTCTGGAAAACCAGGATTGAAAGAAAGGAATCAGGAAAAGATAACTCATGTAGATATTATAGTCTTTATTTTCCAGTAACAAATTTCTATTGCAGACCAAGGGAAGTTAGTCAATTTAATATTGTTCTTTACAGACTACAGTGGTTGAAGCTGTATTCTCCTCTAAGAGCTGGCACAATAAGATTTTACATTCCTCTGATTGGGCTAATGAAGATGGCCAGTGAAATGCAGTGGGCCAGTAAAATTTTCCCAGTTGCCGAAATTTGTTTCTGTTTCCTTCTACTTTACCTCTTTCCCTACTTCTGCAATACACGACCACTCCCCAAAATCTTGCATTAAGCCAAGTTTAACATCAAGCCCCCTCCCCTCCTACGAAACATTTCAGTCTGGCTACGGTTCTGATTGGATCACAGACACAGTATTCACAAGATCTTTATAAATTATTCACCATCACTTGCTCAGAGTTATCAGGGTGGAAAAATCTCGAAGAGTAAACCACTTGCTAATTCATTTTTCAGCCCTAAAGGGTCGCATCCAGTTGAAATGAATTTATTAGATAACAGATTCATTTATTGCTTGGTGACTGTCCAGATCTGAAGATGAGTTAAGGTATCAAAAGTGAAATAAAAAAAACACTGTTTATTCGCACATCATAATCATCAGAAAAACATAAATATACACAATTATCTGAAACTCACAATTATATCTAATATAATATATCTATATATAGATGGCTTTATAAGGGATGATTTCACGTTAACTAAGGGATTGTAAAGAGGTCTTTATCAACTTTCTCTGTGTATCAGTGACACTGATAGCATCCATTTGCACCATTCCAATTTTCAATCAGAGATCTGTTGTTCCTGCAATTCCACTAACGAAGGGGTATAATGATCAGTCTTTACGATAGTGAATTCAAATTAGGTTCTTTTTATAATCACAGGAACCACAGACGTCTGATGGAAAATGTGCAAATAGAAACCATAGACGTTCCATACACATAAATCAATTATCAATATCCTCTGTTGAGGGCTGTTAAATACATGATACAGCAGTCACCCCAGTCCCCTTCTCCTGATGTTGAAGGTTTTTCATTACATGACCCTCATAGCTCCCTGTGGCTGATGTTGATGGTTGAACAATACATGACTAATATTAAAACTAGCATCATATTTTCCCCACCCCAGCCTCCTGTATGCTGATGTTGAGGGGCATTAAATAAATGATTTCACTGGCAGTAGTCCTCCATTCATATTCCCCTAGTGAAGCTAGTACATATGAATAAAATATTATCTTTAAATGACATTTAGAAGTAGATAGAACATTAAATAAATAAAAACACTATTATAGAAGTTAGAAAATTAAAGAAAGGAGAAGTATATCTATAATAGTGTTCTTACTTATTTAATTGAATTAAATATTGTTTACAAAAACACTAGTACATGACTTGTATCTAAATAACCATCATATCTCCATCCATCCATTCATCATCACTCACTCATTCACTGTACAGTCTATATAATAAAGTGTCTATGTTTTAATTTTAACTATTGGCCTGTGCCTTCTCGAGACTGTTTCATGGCTTCACGAGCTTTATTATATTCTAACTCTTTCTTTTTATGTGCTTCTAAAATTTGCTGTTCAATAACTTTCCTTCGATCTCCAGGTCTTGCAGGGTTAACTGAAAATATACAAACATGGAGTTAATAAGGTCTACATTGGATTTATATCTTCTTTAAGATGAGAAATAAAATACACTGTAAAATCAAATGTAGTTTTATATTCTTCTGGCCTGTTTTACAAAATCAGAATTTATGATGGTTTTAGGGTCAGCTAATAAAATTGATTCTAAAATCAGCTATCTGAACCAATGAAATTTGTTTTATTTCCTGAAATCTGGATTTTATCACAATTAAAATTTGGTGGGTCTCAGCTGGAGTTAAATAGCTCTATGGTATTGGCTGCTACACGTCCATCGAGTGAAAAACATGCAATAAAAGTTCTGAAACCATACAGATCCCAAAAAATTATTTTCTTCGAAAAGGGCAACACTCGGACACCACAGTTCCACATCCCCAGGTAGTGACAACACCCCAGGTTGGGAACCAAGGACAAAGCAAATAGAAATACTAGATTGAATTTGAAATTGTTGGGCTTAATAAAAAAAATTTTTTACTTACAAAATACATTATATACAATATTGGCAGTTAAAGAAAAGAACCCTATAACAGCTGTACTGGCTAAAATCGTAACAGAGGTCTTGTGCATGAAATCGTACACCATATATTTCCGGATCGGTCGGCCTCGAAACTTGAACACCATCTTGTTTTAATACTACTGAAATTATAAATAGCGGTAATTTGAAAATTGAAATTTAATGATTTTTTTTTATGTCCTACTTTTTTGCACCTAACGGGTTAATGAAAACAGGCTACAGAGTACAATGAGAGGACAGCAGCTTGAGCCTACTCTTATTTCAGTTTCCAAGTGTCAAGGAATCGTTAACGTGCACAGCCTGTAGCACACAAGGTCTCTGTGGTTTATTGTCCAATACTAAGGACTAGATGCTTTTTCCATCCATGTCACTAATGTCAGCCCCTCCTACCAGCAACACTGACAAGGGGGAAACCTGCAAGTGAGCAAGCTCTAATTAACCTACTGACTGACTGAGCCACAGTGAAGCAGTGGCGAGTAAAGCAAATTCTGATGAAATTAGCAATAATTTAAGTCAAAATTAAATGAAAATGATAATCAAAATCTAACATCTGAGAAAACCTAGCAAGATCTCTGCAGAGAAATATCATGATATCAAAATCCTTGACAAGAAAAGATAGTATTACCTCAAAATTCAATACTTTTACATAAATTCAGTTGTATAAGATGAAAACACACATTCAATGACCTTGAACCTAAGAAATGTTTAAACTGTTTGCTTCCGTATTTTCAAAAGTTATAGGAATATTGAAAATAGAATTTGAATTTTTAGGCAATTTGGTTTTTCAAGATTTTGTTTGAAAGTTTTCATTCGATTTCTTGTCCAACTCGAGAAAATGTTCAATTTCCTAAAATACGAAACTCGCAAGACAATTTGCTAAGGACGCCATTTGTAAACAACATGGCTGCCGAAATTTATATTTTCTAGAAAATATTCTATTTTATGTTATAAAATGTAAAGAAATTCGCATGATGTACCAATATTAAAAGTATTCCGCACTGAATTAATGTAAGACCTAAATTTATATAAAATTGAAAATGTGACAGCTTTCATTCAAAAGAACATCAAAGAAAGACTCGAAAAAAAGGGGGTGGGGGGAGGAGAGACCAAATGAAAGTTGTAGGGGAGAGAGGATGGGGAGGGGGGTGGGGGGACGGCGGAAAGTCCCAATTCCAAACATTATCTCCTCTGTTTTAATTGTTCAGTAAATAAGCTCAGCAGAGGAAGTGATTATGAAAGGTAATATTGTAACTAGATCTAGCCTTGATTGAATTTATTTATTTTAGGAAAGATGGCAACTAGAATATCTCAAGATAAAACTTCAACTGTGAAAGGAGAAATCAGGTTTGAGTTTTTAATTTTTGTACTGGAAAGAATTGACAATGTGATAAATAGGTATACATGTACTATGCAAATGGACCATGTTTAATAGAACAAGGGGATTAGGTGGTTGAAATTTGGTCTCAGATATAAAAAGCATTTTTGGTTTGAAAGAATTATTTGAATGGAGCCTTTGAATACTTGTATGAATTGTTGAAATATGATCCAATATGTTTCTATATCTAAGATCAAGGCTTGAATGTGATTTTCAGTTCAGCAAGAATTGGAATAAAAAGAGAGACAAGTTCAGGAACTTTGGAGATTTTTGGTGAAAATAATTTTGCACTGGAAGATTCTGCAAGTAACAACTTTGATAAAAGGTGAGATTCCATGTTATTCTAGAATAGCTTCTAGACTAGAGCACATGTTATGCTGACACATGTTTCAGATACACAATCCTCATCAGGACTGATAATTTTGTTTTTAGGCTGTCTTATCAATATAGGACTTCATTGAATAGAGATCATCTATTGCTGCTGAAACTTGATATTTCTTTGGAGACATTTGATGTGTCACAGGCAAACAAATTATCTCAAATGACTACACTATACATGGCCTCGGCTAACATTGTCTTTGAATACTCAAAGAATTATTTACAACATTTTGTACTCCATACTACCGGAGATCGGGCCTGATATCCAATCCTAGTTTCACTTTCGATAGCTGGGAACATCATTTTCATGCTGATACGATTTGAAAACCACTGATCTAGAGCATGTCTATTGTTTTGTAGACTGAAATGGTGCTATAAATTATGCCTTATTTTTCAGACCAGGAAAAGTACCACCACGGCCAGATTCCAGATCAAGCTTAGGACAATCAACTCCGACTTCCACCAAACAAATTTCACTACAAACAGTGAGACGAAAGAATAACAGGTGAGGAAGTATTTACCAGTAAAACTTCATCTGATGATTCAAACATCTTAAAGGGATTGTAAAGAGGTTTTCTAATTTTTTTATGTCTAGGCCTAGCTGGGATACTGATAGCATCAATTTACACCATTCCAATTTTCTATCAGACGTTTATTCCACATAAGAACCTTTAGAATACCGGTACCTTTTTAAAAATCCCTTCAAGCACCATGATTTTCCAAGATAAATGTACAAAAGGATGACTTATATTATATTTTCATCATATCTTGTTGTGGTATTTTTTCAGTGAAGATGATGTACAAGTTTTAGATTTAGAAACAAACACTGAAGGGTGAGTTGAGACAATTTTTAACTCTGACCAGATTTTTCAGAGTTCTTACTTCCCAACTACAGAAATTTGAGCAGACTTGCGAAGACTTTGAGAGTATTTGTACACTCTACTGTATTGTAATCAATGATAGAGAGTCTAGGCACTGTTAACATTATTTAATTCTAAACACACATGTATTTCTGTACATCGGGATTAAATCTTGTTTTGTTTTCGAGATGTAGAAAAGTAGGATATAAAACTCCATTTCAACAATTGTTGTTTCTAGAGAGGACAGATTGAATGAAAGATTGGAAAAATTAAATTTAAGTGGAAGAAATTCCAGGAATTTCCTCAGAGAGAATTCAAGCCAAGGTATTTTATTTTTTTATAATTAAAATCCTGACAATTAAACAGATGAAAATTGCTATTAGCTGATAAAGCAGGGATTAGTGTTAGGGCTATAATGGAAGATTGTTATGCAATAATGGAAGATTGTTATGCAAGAATGTTGATAATCATTGGACTCTTCCCCTATGATTTAAAAAAAATAACAACTTAGTTTTAGAAAAATCCTGTCTACTAGCAATGGCAATTGACGAAATGGCAAATATTTATCTGTATTATTGTTTTTTTTTTAAATCAGAGTTAACCAAAGAGAAAGAAATTCAAAATGATGAAACGAGCAGTGAAAATGAAGATGATGATGATGATGATGAAGATGATGATGAAAAGCCAAAAGCACCAAATGAATTATTTATGGAGGTATGCTATCTCATATGTATTTTGGTATTTTTGAGTATCAGAGATATTTATAGCTTATCATTCAGCAATCTTTGGCAGTTTCCCTAAAGCTGGGTCTGTCTCAGTTATGAATGGTAGAATTTGTTGTGTCTTCTTGGGCGAGACTCTTTACTTCCGACATTTCACTATTATTTGTCAAATGATAGTAATATTGTGACTTGAATATAGAACCTTACGCGAGAGTCTGTGGGGAATAAACCTGACACTTACTAATGCATCAAATATTATGTTGTTACTATTGGTTATCCAATGATACATTTTATAACTTATTAAAATCTGTATCTTAAGAAGTTTTTGTTTTCTTTGTCTTTGTTTACAAATACTTGTAGTATTGAACGACCAGCCTCTGATATTAGAACTACCAGAATCATGTCACCATCTTGATACAGTTCTGGTATATAATTGTTGCTTTTTAATACCATGATCTATTTGAAGATCGCTATCAAGACTTTAGACAGTTTGATATCTTACTTTTGCACCATTTCTATTTCTGATGGGACATTTATGGTTTCTGTCAGTCTAGCTAGATTATGGGAAGAAAACCTGTTTTTAAAACCCTGTAAGAACAGGCACAGGCTGTGATTTAGTACTATTTTTATTGTTTCAGTTTTTAACATGTATAATGAACAAAGATTATCCAACAGCCAAAAAACTTTGTAGAATGAGTAAGTTTATTTTTCTTGTTATTGTGGACAACCAATTGACTATTTCACACGTCGGCCACATTGAATCCAGATCGAGACTCTTAACGCAAACAAACAACATTAATGTGGTGGTATATGCAGTAAGTTTTCCACCTTGACGTCTCTAACGCCTGCTTCTCCAATCCCACTAACTTACTCACAACTAATCATATTTTACATCATTAAATTTGGAATTGATTAATCTATTTAATGATACCTTTAGATGAAGTTTACCATCACACATTAAGGAGAATTGACAGTTTTAAGCCTATTTTCCGGCTGTTTCAGTGATGTCACTTTGGCTATCTTATCAATGGATGACATAATTTGTGTTATAGAAATCGCTTTCAGAGTCTCAAAAACGAGGAGTAACTAAAGTCTATTAGATGCTCTGTTCAAAAGAATATGTCTTCACTGTTTGTGAGGAATTTTGGGATATTCGTAGTAAATGTGCGTGGTTTGCCAGTGCTGATTTGGGCCATATTTTGTTTATGTTTTGAAATTAACTCTGACATGCACTTGTCTTCAGGTATTCAGCGACTTGCCTTTCTCTTTCTCTGGCTTACTAAACTCAGTAAAAACTTGTCCTCAGTTATTGTCCTATACATAAAGTATTTTAAATTACCATTCGCAATATTTTGTTTATCTCAGTTTTGATATATGAACCTCAGCATGAAGAAGCTTTAAAATTTCAAAATCTGATTGAAGAGAAGATTTTACTAGGTGAGTGATCAAAACACATTTAAAGATGAAATGCACACAGGTTCTATGAGGTATTGCCTTCTTGGCAACCTGGAATTGAGTTAAAAGTTAATTTTGGTAGGTTTTTAGGCCAATGAAGACTGGCAATATTTAGCTGTGCAGGTAGAATATAATAAATACATGCAGTGTGCAAGGAGGAAAATTTTGCAATGACATCAGCGTAAGCCTTCTCTTACTCAATTTCCAAAATTTAGCGGAATCTTTTATGGTAGTGCCCTTACACAGAAATACTGTAAACAATTTGACTGCATATGAGGTCTATGATTGGCTGTATTCAATAGTGTACAATCCAATGAAATCGCTTCATTTTGATAATACAAGAAAAGTGGCTATTACTGTCAAGGTGTTAGATGCAATTCGTAATGGCTTGACAAATTCTAAATTCGTTAAACCACACAATTTTATCTGGAACTGATATGTGCGAATAAACGCGTTACCACTGACCTAGACCCAAGATTGAAAAACGATCTTCATCGGGGCAACGTCTGCTGAAATCGAGGGAGGTAATTGGAGAATTTGATTGATTGTAGATCAAGAGCCTGATGTGAGTGATTCGGAAGATGAAGAGAGAGAATCAGGGCACGAGTTGGACAGTGGAAACAGCGGAGATAGCAATGACGATAGCGAGGACACCAGGTGGGGATTTTTGTATTAGGGTAGCATAAAAGGAGGAAGGGTTGGAGCAGGTTTGCTTAGAGAGTTGCAATCTTTATATGATGTCATGTACTCGATAACTTCAAGAAAAGGGTGGTGGTGGATATGGGTAAAGCTATGGACTATATTCCAATTTCACTACAAATACTGAATGATTTGTTTTTATACGCCCACACGTAAGATGGGCGTATATTGTAATCACCCAGTCGGTCCGTCCGTCCGTCCGTCCGTTCACATTTGGCTCGTGCTCACTCTACAGGCTACAGTTCTCTATGGATTCTTTTGATTTTTATTTTGTATGTCAATGTTGTCATGAAGATGATCCCTATTGATTTTCGTGATGATCGGATAATTTTTCACCGAAATATCATGTCTGACTTGACGTTTTTCTCTATTAGCTATATTGTGCAACTCGTGCTCACTCTACAGGCTACAATTTTTTACAGATTCTTTTGATTTTTATTTTGTGTGTCAATGTCATTATGAAGATGATCCCTATTGATTTTCGTGATGATCGGATAATTTTTCACCGAAATATCGTGTCTGACTTGACGTTTTTCTCTATTAGCTATATTGTGCAACTCGTGCTCACTCTACAGGCTACAATTTTTTACAGATTCTTTTGATTTTTATTTTGTGTGTCAATGTCATTATGAAGATGATCCCTATTGATTTTCGTGATGATCGGATAATTTTTCACCGAAATATCGTGTCTGACTTGACTTTTTCTCTATTAGCTATATTGTGCAACTCGTGCTCACTCTACAGGCTACAATTTTTTACAGATTCTTTTGATTTTTATTTTGTATGTCAATGTCATTATGAAGTTGATCCCTATCGATTTTCGCGATGATCGGATAATATTTCACCGAAATATCGTGTCTGACTTGACGTTTCACTCTATTAGCTATATTGTGCAACCCTGTAGTCACTAAGGACTGTTTAATCATTTCTGACAGCTGCCAGTGGGCGTATGTTATCTTGCCTGGCAAGCTATCTTTAATTTCAGTTCGGAGGATTCTGATTCTAGCGAGGAAGATGACAGTCGACCAAGTACCGTTGATACGGTAGATTCTGGTATAACATCAACCGCTTCTATCTCAGATTGATTACAACATTGTGTTATTATATACCAGTAACATTGTGTTATTATGAACCAGTAACATTGTGTTATTATATACCAGTAACATTGTGTTATTATATACCAGAAACATTGTGTTATTATATACCAGTAACATTGTGTTATTATATACCAGAAACATTGTGTTATTATATACCAGTAACATTGTGTTATTATATATCAGTAACATTGTGTTATTATATACCAGTAACATTGTTTTATTATATACCAGTAACATTGTGTTATTATGAACCAGTAACATTGTGTTATTATATACCAGAAACATTGTGTTATTATATACCAGTAACATTGTGTTATTATGAACCAGTAACATTGTGTTATTATATACCAGTAACATTGTTTTATTATATACCAGTAACATTGTGTTATTATGTACCAGTAACATTGTGTTATTATATATCAGTAACATTGTGTTATTATTTATCAGTAACATTGTGTTATTATATACCAGAAACATTGTGTTGTTATATACTAGTAACATTGTGTTATTACATACCAGTAACATTGTGTTATTATGTACCAGTAACATTGTGTTATTATATATCAGTAACATTGTGTTATTATATACCAGTAACATTGTGTTATTATATATCAGTAACATTGTGTTATTATATATCAGTAACATTGTGTAATTATATACCAGTACCATTGTGTTATTATGTACCAGTAACATTGTGTTATTATATACCAGTAACATTGTGTTATTATATATCAGTAACATTGTGTTATTATATACCAGTAGCATTGTGTTATTATATACCAGAAACATTGTGTTATTATGTACCAGAAACATTGTGTTATTATGTACCAGTAACATTGTGTTATTATATATCAGTAACATTGTGTTATTATGTACCAGAAACATTGTGTTATTATGTACCAGTAACATTGTGTTATTATATACCAGTAACATTGTGT